AGCCCAGTGGAACGTTTGGTGATTTGGGTTTTTAGCTGAGTCTGAATTATTGCAGCGAATGAGGGAGGAGAGTGTTGGAAACTTGAGGCTTCTTCCAGAGAACAGAACAAAGCCTCGTCAAAAAATCCTGCAAACCCTGAAAACAGCCCAAGGAAGGCTGGAGGGGAATGGTTTTGATGGTTTTGAGGTGTGCAACTACTATTWTGTGGCACACAAACAGATTCCTCCTCCTTTTAGTAAGTTGATCCGAAGGAACTTGAGCTATGTAATGCTCTGACTTTAATTACTGAAGTCATTGCAGTTATGAAATTTTTAAAAAACTCTCCTCTTTTTATCTTTTTTATAGTTACAGTTGCATCATCTAATTTCCCACTGTCTAAATTTCCCATTTCAGCTCAGATGTCTTTTTGTTTCCAGTCCCTTTAATTCTTTGCTAAACTGGTTTGAATGTCAAGTCTCAACACTTTGACAGAAAAGACACATTTAAGTGCAGCTTAAACTGAAGAGGAAGAGACGCTCCAGCCTTCCTTAAAGACTGAATAAATTCTTCRTTTCTGTCGGAGCCCCTCCGTCTTCATGGTGGGATTCGGCCTCTGCTGGGAGTTTTATTCTGAAAGTCAGCGTCTGTGGGGTTTAATTGGATTCACATCTTATCAGAAATCTTGCCGTGTACATCCACTGCGATGCAAACTGCAGGGCGCGAACACTGATCGTATCTCACCAACAGGCAAGGAAGTCAAAAGGACATTTGTTACAACAAAGCAGAAACGTCTCATTTCCTAGAATGACCTGAAAACGTGAGACGAGAGAACCTAATCGGTGCAGTGTTTAGCATTGGAGAACATTTCTTTTTCAAACTGGTTGTGCAAAAAGCTCACAGGTCACCAGTGCTGAAAATCAAATCAGTAATTCTTCTTTCATCTCCCTGTTTGAATAGATGGAATGTCTAAACATGAACAGTTTTGCACCGTTATAAAGTTTTACAATAAACCAAAAATATTTAATGAAATCTGAAGGCTGTAGCTACAGAAGACTGTCTCCTTCCTGCAAAACCTTAGTCTTTGAAAATAAACCAGAACTATATATATA